TGAATGTCCAGAGGACCAGATTTAACTTTTTTAGATATAAACAATAAACTCATAAGATAAAAGCAAACAATACACACACACAAAAACAAACACGTTTGTATGGAAAATGTGTAGACCGAGCAGAGATGATCCAGTTCAGGAAATGTAGTTAAACAAAAAATATATGTCTTGAGCCTGCTCTTAAAAAGAACAACATTCTTTACGGCCCTCGGGTTTTCTGGCAGACTATTCCACAGATGAAGACCGTAGTACTGGAAAGAAGCCTCACCGTAAGTGTGAGTTCTGACTATTGGAACTGTTAGTAGTCCAGTGCCAGAGGACCTTAGTGTCCGTGGACGTTCATAAGATAATAGCAACTCTGTAAGATAAGATGGTGCAAGACTGTTGAGACATTTAAAACCCACTAAAATAATCTTAAAATCAATCCTGAGGTGCACAGGAAGCCAGTGCAATGATTTTAAAAACACGTGTCATATGAGCCTGCCTTCTGGTCTTAGTTACACGAGCATTAGAGTTTTGTAACAGCTAAAGGCTGGACAAATGTTTCTTAGAGAGACAAGAAAGCAGTGCATTACAGTAGTCTAAATGGCTAGAAATAAAAGCGTGCATCAAAGTCTCAGTATTGGTGAGAGAGAGAAGAGGGTGGACTCTGTCTATATTTTTTAGATGGTAAAATCCTGGAGTTTTTCTACCCAGTTGAGCTACCACTTTGGATATGGCCAAAACTCCACCACAGCTTCTCCTCTAAGGGGTAAAAGGAACTGTGTCTATGACTTGAGAATTACCCAGAGTAACTTTAGACAAGTTCAACTTAGGGCAGCACGGTGGCGCAACTTCTAGAGCCGCCGCCTCTCAGCGAGCAGGTTCCCGGTTCAAATCCTGGTCCCGGGGGCCTTTCTGGGTGGAGTTTGTATGTTCTCTCCGTGCATGTGTGGGTTTTCTTCGGGTACTCCGGTTTCCTCCCACAGACCAAAAACATGCATGTTAGGCTGATTGGTAACTCTAAATTGTCCCTAGGTGTGAGTGAGAAAGTGAATGGTTGTTTGTCTCATTTGTTTCTATGTGGCCCTGTGATGGACTTGCAACTAGATGATGACATTTTTTTGGGAGTACCGCGGGTCACGTGATTCCAGCGTGATTCCGGCGGGACCGGAGTCAACCTCATTATAACTCACGTGACTGGGACATGACTGGATTGAAAGCGAACGGGACCAGACAGGAGCGGAAACCGACCAATAACCAAAAATGAAACCAAACAAAAAACAGGCGCAGCTATTTTTTTAGGTTTTTTCAGTAAGCCTTCACTTTAACACAAGTCAAAAGAACTACATTGCCCAGAAGTCAACTGTTCCAGTCGGATCTTTTCACCGAGCAGCGAAGTCTCCAGCAAAGAAACCAAATGGCTGAAATATTTTGCAGTGCAAGGTAAGAAGTAACTGTCTGTCTATTAAACTCACAGAACGGGCAGGAAAGTGTCAAATAACCCTGAATCTAAAAAAGTTAAATCTGGTCCTCTGGACATTCAAAAAAAACCAAAACAAAGCAAAACAACAAAAAATGTAGAAACGTTTCGTCTCTCATCCAAGAGACTTCCTCAGTCTGAGGTGCTGTATTCAGCTCAGTCTCTTAAATAGCACCTTCTTAGAGTGGATCAACCAGTTTTGCTGCTGACAACCAAAACCAGCTGATCACATGCTCAAGAAGGACCATCAGCCTAACAATGGATCATTAGCACACTGATGGCTGTTTACTATTCACAGAGGGCTGAGTGATACTAGCAATCACAGCATTGTAAGAGGGGGACAATTGAACACGTAGGCCTCCACCCCTGTTTAACGATGGACGGTTTCTTTTCACAAAGATGGCCTCCTTTACTCCTCTCTCAAACCATCGTTCCTCTCTATCCAGGATGTGCACATCTTCATCCCTGAAAGAGTGACCGCTGGCCTGGAGATGAGTGTAGACCACAGAATCCTGGCCTGATGATGTTGATCTTCTGTGCTGGGCCATCCTTTTGGCCAGTGGCTGTTTTGTTTCCCCGAAGTAAGACTGATCACAGCCCTCCTGACACTGAACAGCATACACAACATTACTCTGTTTGTGCCGGGAGACTGGATCTTTGGGATGAACCAGTCTTTGCCGTAATGTATTTTGGAGTTTAAAAGCCACTGGGACGTTATGTTTAGAAAATAAACGTCTCAGTTTCTCTGATACTCCCTCAACATATGGAATGACCACTGGTCTGGGTCTGGGTTCCTCCTTTTCACCTGTTGGCTGACTGGAGTCCTGTTTGGGTTTCTTCTCTGCTTTTAGGAAGGCCCAGTTAGGATATCCACATTGCTCTAGAGCCTGTCTTGTGTAGGATTTCTCCTTCTGCCTGGCTCCTGAGCTAGTGGGGACGCTGTCTGCTTTGTGATACAGAGTCCTGATGACTACTAACTTGTGCTCCAAAGGGTGATGGGAGACAAAACTGCAAATACTGGTCGGTGTGGGTGGGTTTGCGGTACACCTCAGTTTGTAAATGTCCTCTATCAGAGACTGAGACCTCACAGTCCAAGAAAGCCAACTTGCCATTTTTTTCATCTTCTCGTGTGAACTTGATGTATTTATCCACAGAGTTGATGTGG